TTATTATTATAAAACACACCTACAACTTGATCCGGCAAAACAAAGCAGACTTTTTGTATTTGTATTTCTGCCTAGATTTGAATTCATAAAATGGCTTTTTTAAAATGTTTTATAATACATATACATTTCATTGTATTTATAATGTTTGTCTATATGAGCCTATAGTTTATTAAACACTTCTATTATTACATATGCTTCCTGTATAGAGAGACTTTTATGTATATAATAAACATGGAAGCCAGAGTATGACAGTATTTCTGCGCAGTTTATTTGTAATCTGTGGAGACCTGTTACTGTTGTTTTAAGTGAATCACTGAAAGTAAGATATTCTCACCCAACTTTATGAATTAAAAAACTGTTTTAAAAGAATTCTTGCAAACCTTATTTTTTATACATGAACAGCTATTTTATTTTATTTTAGAATTGAATTGAATTTTGATTTTTTTTTTTCTTTTTCTATTGCACACAGTGGGCGAAACGGCATTTCAGTGCGGTGTATGTCCTGTACATTGCAGAACTGACAATAAAGTTTAATTTGACTAACAATGATTGTAGTAACCCTAAGAACCTTAAAGGTATTCTCCAGTTCCATTTTTACCAGTTGAAGCTCTGTAGATCTGTATCTGTAGATAGTTTTGATGCCATCTGCCCTGTTTTGGGGGTTTTAGTCTTTTGCTATTTCTGCCACCACACGGTTACTGCAGATAAAGCCTTGTGGCGTGGGCGTGGTCTCTGGCCTGCTGCAGTGGAGAAAGCGTCACAGTGAGCTCATGGGGCGGTGCTGAGGCAGGAAGAATAGGTGCGCAATTGACTGTGTGTCTGCTTTTTGTCAGTAAAAGCTAGCTGGGAAGGTGTGGCAGCGAGACGGAGTGCCTGTGTCCGGAGCCAAGGGCCGAAACCACAGAAGTAGTAGTTGTCACACAATAAAGATAACTGTGTGCGGTGAGTTTATGTGCTCCACCTTGGGGGTCCTGCACTACAAGCATTTTCATGTTTTTTCCACATCATTAGACCGCATACGTTGCCCTCACCTACACTCCCTCCAACACATCTTCGCAGCTCCTCCTGGGTCCTCTGTCTTACATCAAGTGGCAGATTGCTGCTGTTGATAAGCGGCGGGTAAACACACGCTGCAAGAACCTGTGAAAAAGTGCAACACGGACATCCTTACTCAAAGGAAACGTAATGAGTTTACACAGTGTGTAAAGGTCCAAGTTTACCTGTCTGACAAATGTCAGAGGTTTCATTCCTGCCTTGTGTAAATCACCCTGGAAGACATCGATCACTTCTTTGTAGGGTCTTCTCACTCCCTGTAGAAGAGGGATTGAAAGCAAAGGTTAAAGATATTACAACAAAGACAGCATGACTAACTCTGGTTTATGCTTCCTATATTACAACTCTGCGTAAACATAGTTTTTCTTGCCTGTCTGAGCTCGTCCTTGATCTGGTTTGCTCGTCTTGCCAGGGCTCCATTCTCTAACTGCTTCATGTTCCACATGTTTGAATTGATGTCCTGCTACGCAGATATTACTGTAACCCTCTTTACTTTGTTCAGACCAAAGAAGTGTGGAGAAGGTGAGCTGAGTCTTTTCTTCCTTCTCGGCTTGATGTGAGCAGAATCATTTACCAAAGGACTTGTTTTATAGTTAGATGTGCACAGGATTAGGCAATATGTGCCTTATTAACAGACCATGTGCTGGAAGGACAGACTTCTTGAATCAACTCCAGTGCACAATTCGATGCTTTACTTCTGCATTGTGTATAAACTTTTGGTCATGACCATGCATGACAGAGCACGTTAAAGTATCTTCTCTTAGTGCCTCTGTGTGCGATCTGTCAGTCTTATTTAGAGAGAAGTTTTAAACAAATAATTATGATTTGGTTTTTTTAGTATTTATTTATTTATTTATTTCTAATAGGGCATGAGATTCACATCAATGAACCAAACTAAATTAATTAATCTATGGATGGACAGATCTCCATAAATAGGAACAAACAGCACAACAACTTATGTGCCATGTGGTATGTGCTACTGAATGTTTAGGCCACGGGATCAGTACAACTGTTTCTTAGTC